TGTAACAAAGTATTTGTTACCTCCCATCAAATCCACCTGAATTGGTCCACATACATCAGAGTATATGACTTCGAGACTAGCCTTCGATCTACTTCCTGCATCCTTGATGAAGCTGTTCTTGTGTTGCTTCGCCTGCACACATTCTTCACATACTTCGTTTGGAATGTCAATTTCAGGCAATCCTGAAACCATATTTCTTCTCTTCAAATCTCTGATGTCTCTGAAGTTGAGATGACCAAGTCTATAATGCCATATCCATTCATCTCTGCTAGCTGCAGTCGAAAGGCACTTGTGCTCCATCACATTTAGTTCAATCTTGAAGGTTCGATTCTGAGACATAGGAGCCTTCAAGATTAATCTCCCATTTGCATCAACGACTCTCATCAACTTATCTTCGATTGACACTTTATAATTCTTTTCGACCAACTGCCCTATACTGAGCAAATTGCTCTTCATGCCTGGTATGTACAATACATTCGAAATTACTGACTTCTTGCCATCTTTCCTCATGATCATAACATCACCAATACCTTCAGCTGCTAGGGTGTTGTCATTTGCAAATTTTACTAAATTTTTCGTTGAGGATTTTATGTTGACGAACCAGTCTTTCCTTCTAGACATATGTGATGAACATCCTGAATCCAAGTACCATTGGTCCTTGAATCTATCTTCATCTCTTGTTGTGACCATCAGCATCATCTCTTCTTCTTCTTCATGTTTTGCCAGCTTTGCATCACTTTCTTGATTCTTTCGTTTTTCTGGACAATCACTCGAATAGTGACCATACTTCTGACAATTGTAACATTGAATGTGACTCTTATCAGGTTTTCGACCACCACCTCTTCCTCTGTTTGCAGCACCACCTCTTTGGTTGCCTTGGTGTGGTCTTCTTTGATTCGACACGTCTCCTTCGATTTGGTTTCCTCTACCATTCGATTTGTTGTAGCCACCTCTACTTCTGTCGAAATACTTTCCTTTGCCTTTGGTTTCTTTTGCTGAGTGTGCCTGCAAGGCTACATCACTCTTCGATTTTCCTGCAGCTCTTTCGTTCATTCTTTGTTCATGAGATTCGAGCGTCCCTTGAAGCTCTTCCTTTGTCAATTTCGACAAGTCTTTCCCTTCTTCTATCGCCACCACTATGTGGTCGAACTTAGGGGCTAAGGATCTCAGGATCTTCGAAACAACAGCTCTTGTTGTTAATGTTTCTCCACATGTCTTGATTTGATTCACTAGTTTTGTAACTCTAGTGAAGAAATCAGATATGTTTTCACTGTCTTCCATCTGAAGCAGTTCATAGGTCCTTTTGTGAGTTTGTAACCTCACTTCTTTCACCTTCTCAGCGCCTCCAAAAGACTTCTCCAGGATCTCCCAAGCTTCTTTTGCAGATTCTGAATCACCAATCTTCTCGAAATTGTCTGGACTGACACATTGATGAATTATAAACAATGCTTTATAACTCTGTTTCTCAGATTCTGTGTATTTCTTCTTTTCTTCTTCTGAAGCGTTTTCGCCAAGCGCTTCGACTCCATCTTTTACAAGGTCCCAAAGGCCTTGACACCTTAATAGGACTTTCATCTGCTTGCACCAATTCTCATAGTTGTCAACTTTCAGAATTGGCAGTGTTGCTGGATAGTTTGCATTCCCATAACTTGTCATCGTGAATTCTTCAATCGTTCTTGATTGATACTTCCCTTGAATCGTAACACAAGCTCTTGATACCAGATGTTGGAAATCCACCAATACTCAATGATGAATTTCGACCACCACTTGATGATTAGTTATGACAAACAAATAAAAGAACAATGGAGATATTTCTGCAGAGTTTCTCTCTGCCCACAAACTGTGGAAACTTTATTGATTCACTTTGCAACTGCAAAATACTGTGAATAAGTTCAATGACTTGAATACAAAATAAGGGTTACTCCCTCTTCTTTATAGATTTAGGTTAGCTTGCTCCCTAAGCTAAACCCAAGCCCAAAATATCTCTTTACTAAATCAAATCTAATCTAGATTTAAATTCAAATCTATTTAAATCTAAACAAATCAAATCTTATTTTGACACCTATGAATTACAATTTAACACATTTGTGATTTAACTTGGTATCAATCTATACTTTTACTTGCTTGATGTCTTGTTTTGTTAACCTATTAGTATGTATGAACACTTACACAATTGATGTGTTGTTTTGTAAACCTGTTAGTATGTTTGATCTTTTAGACATTTTAGTGTGTTGTTTTGTTAGAGTCCTAGTACGTATGAACTTTTATAAAATCTAACAGAAATTTATGATGTTGTATGGACGAATATTTGTTTCGACTAGAATTTAACTCATCTTACATAACCATTACTGTCATGAAATCATCTTCAAATTCTTAATTTAATATAGTTTATGATTTTTACTCTTGGGAATTTAATCAGTATAACAACTAGTGCCAATGATTGAAATGCTACTCCAGTAAATGTTCTACTTTTTTTCTTTGAAGACCTCAAAGTATCTAATCTATGTACTCAATAAAGACAATTGGGTATTAATTTCTGTTTCATTTCTTTGAAACCTACATGTTTTTGTTTGATTCTACGACATGATTTCATATCCATAATGATTTTTTATTTTTTTTTCTTTGAAACATACATGTTTTTCTTTGAAATCCAGAAGTGGCCAAACCCTCAATTTTACTTCGTTTGCTTCAATTTTGTTTTGTTTCAATGTCGAATTTAAAGACAATCTCAAGCAAATGTGATTCTATGTCTTCTTTTATAAAATTTCGATTTGGAAATTTTTGTGGGGTGGTGAGACATGTGATTTGTCCTTTTTATAAAAGAAGATTTTTTTGGAGATGTCCCTTTTGGTGGAGTGATGAGACATGTGATTTGTTCATATGATATGAATACATGAGAGTAAAAGGTGGAAATGAAGATGAGAGCATTATGAAGTCAGAGATGAAAGCTATGGAAGTTATGGGGTATTTGAAGGTTATGTACGAAGAATCAAAGAAGAAGAATAAAAATTTGAAGAACAAACTTAAATCAGATGAATTTTATAGAAATTTAAAGGTGTTATGTTTTATTATCTCCTTTATATTTAATGTTTACTTTGTTATGAAATGTAATAGTAGAAGTAGACTTTGAATTGCATTGTTGATGTTACATTGAAACTGTAAATGTGGTGAAATATATGTATCGGCCTTATTTTCTAATGAAATGTTAGTTTTTATTAAACAATTGTTATGGTTAGAAACATTTGACCGGTCTAACATTTCTATTTGACAATAGCAAGAAACTACAAATCTTATTTGATACTAGTCATAAATTTACCGTTCTTATATGCTACGAAAGAAGTGCAAGCTCGCCCAAAAATGGTGTAGATGGTGAAATTGTTGGCCAATTCCAAATTAATCATGTCGAGAGGTACTCAGTTTTCCTAATACTTTTCTAAATTATTAAATTTTGTAATACTTCTCATAATTGATGAGTGTATATGTCAATTTTTGTATTAAATACTACTTTAAAACGTGAGTCAAATCACATATTGACTTAACAAGTAGAAGATCTTAAGAAACAAATGGCTTCCTCTAAAGATGTTGTAGACAGTGGCGGAGCCAGCATACGGTCAGGTAGGACAGTTGCCCAGGCTCTGCCCAACCAGACTTCACCATCTTGCGCCTGAGATCTTCCATGGCCATCCTCCATGACACCATGCCGCAAACAGACGTACACCGTGGCTCCGCTCTTGTCGTTCTGGTAAAATGTCTCCGTCATTTTTTTTTCTTTTTGTTTCTGTTTCAGTTCAATTCTTGCTACAACATTGATGTTGTTGTGTTGTTATTTATTATTGTTGCAGGTTGTGGTTAACTAGTTGATGGAGAATTGATGTCAAATTTGTCGTTTTGCGCTACGCCCACCAAGTGTTCGGTAAAAGTTTTGAACTGAGATTATTTTTCCTTTATCTTTTTTAGTGGTGGTTGATGAAATGAACAAGAGAGATCTTATGGTTCCATATGGAGTTATCATTACAAATGTTTCTGAAGATATTCGATTCGATAAAGGTGATCATGTTCGTTTTAAATCTGATGTTCTTTTATTTAATAAGGTCTTATCTAAATCAATTTTATTTTAACTGTGATTTCAGCTTAAATATCGGTTTGAGTTCTTCACTTCGACTTGAATGAGCTTCCAACTAATGATGTCAAAACAGGATGAGTGTTATTGTGCTGTTATTTTTTTATGTTCATGCTGAAACTGAATGAATTATATTCTTCTGTCATGTAATTTAACGCCAAGATGTTTATACAAGTTTTCATCTTTTGAATGTGATTTGATCTTGTAACTTTGTTTGTGTGAAACTATAAACAGGTTAGATGCACAAAATTAGTATGAAAATGTGATGGAGTTGAGAGTATGAAATTGGTGGAAAAATGTCTAGTGAGGTGAGTTTACTATGAAAGTACTTTTTTAATGTGAAATATTATGAAATTAGTACGAATGAAGTTTTGTAATGAGTCAATGTCATAGTTTGTTTATTTTGAATGGTCATTTATTCAATTTTATTGTAAACAATGATGCAAGTAAGCATCACTTCCCCACAGCCTCAAGCAGAGCATGCAGAGTACCTTCTCTCATCTGTTAAGAAAACTTTGTGTATAATATGCAGAAAAACAAATTTAAAACTTTGTATAAAATTGATTTTTCCTAAACCAGATTTTTAACCAAGCATCCTATTTTCTTAGATTTACTTTACTCATGTTGTCCACCACAGATCACAGAATAGGTTCGTTCAAAATTTGTTATGCGACAATGTTATAATGCCACTATTTGACAAAAATCTATGCAAACATACAAGACAAAAGTGTTCTACAGATTTCCTTTTAGCTCCTTGTTTTCCTGCTGATAAACCAAAATTCTTCGCCAATGCTCATCAGTTGTTTGATGTTTCCAGCATTCTGAAGAACACTAATGATGATAAAAAAAGATGAAGCAATCATACCGTGAATCATTTCTGATGTTGCTAAGATATGGTTCAAGTTCAGTCATTACATGGTGAGTTATTGTTTGTTTTCTGGTTGTCGTTGTTATTGTTTGTGTTGTAAATAGTCTTAGAATTATTGGAGATGTCTGAAATGGTTACCTTCTTTAACATTCAAATTAATTAAACAATTGACCATGATTGATATTTATGTCTAAATTCCCGCTGGTTATTTATGTCTAAATTCCCGCTGGTTATCTACAGTATCAGTTAAGTGTGATCTCTTGTCAAGGTTTACCAAATATATCAAAGATATAGAAATGACTGCTCATTGCAATGGTTTTTATTTCTTGGATCTCTAACTCAAAAGATAATATATAAATTTTTATACAATATAATATAAATTTACGGTCTTTAAATGTTTGCTCAGGCTTAATAATTTTTCTAGCTCCGCCACTGATTATAGAGAGTATCATTTAACAGGACCCACAAGTTTTAGAAAGACCACAAATCAAGTGGTTCTCTCAAAAGTCCATAAGTCAAGTTGTTTTGTCGTAAATATGTGGATTAAGGTATGTGAACTGTATACATGTTTGCTGCCTTCTCTCATTTTATTGTTTCTATCACTATTTTGGACATTCTATTTGTTAATTATATTGGCAAATACTAAAAAGGAAAAAGAATTGGAGGAAAATTCTGAGTATTACATTGAGTTATTGGCAAAAGAAATTGGGAAACCAAAGCAAGAAATTGCTAAAGACGTCCAGAGGACTAAATATTTCCAAGCACATGTTGCCATGGACTATGGACTTGCTGACAAAATAATGAACTCAGGGGACTTTAGGTAATTACAGACACAAAAACATTAATATCTCTAGAGTTTGTATCTTTGCTCGGAGCTATCTGTAATGTACTTATGTTACTTGACTTAACAATACTTTGTTTCAACTAAAGAAAATTACTAGGCCTATGGGATTATTTTCTTAAGTTGTAAATGTCAAACCATTATCAATGTGAAGAACATGATGGCTGCATTAGAACATTCTATACACCTTTGTTTAATTTTTTAATACATAATTGGGTGGACCCTAATGTGTATACATTGCTCTTGTATTGTCCCCTTACGCGAGTTATTTTCACTATGTCAAACAAGCACATATACATCGCTTTTTTTTGGCAATAGACATCGCTTTAAAGCGCTGCCTAAACCAGCGCTGCTATAGGTAAAGGCAGCGCTTTAGATTAATGTAAAAGCGCCGCTATATGTCCCATTTAGGCATCAGTTTTACTTTTAAATCGCTTTCTTATGCACCCCTTTAGCAACTCTTTCTCTTTTGAAGCGCTTTCTATATGTACCCCTTTAGCAACGCTTTCTCTATAGACAACGCTTTTGGTTATGTTTTACGCATCTCTTTAGACAACGTTTTTCTTTAAAAGCGTTGTCTTTTCCCCACTTTAGGCAGCGCTTTCCCATTTTAGGCAGCGCTTTCCCCACTTTAGGCAACGCTTTTTCTCCACTTTAGACAGCGCTTTCTCATTAAGCGATGTCTAATGTTCACAAATTTTTTTAAATATTAGACTTATTTTCACTTACAGAAAGTGTTGTCTAATATCTACAATAAATTTTCACCAGATTTTCACCATATTTTGCACCAGGTTTTCACCACATTTTGCACCAGATTTGGTAGCTTCAATCCAATATAAATGCACCAAATTTGCATATACAAAAAATCTACATATATATAATTGATGATATATACAACAACAACTTGAAAATTGATGATACAACTTGAAAATTCTAAAATTCTAAATTGATGTTTAATCTACATACAACTTCGAGAATTTCTAAAAAACAACAACAATGAACTTGTTAGCTCCATCTTGTACATCTGCACCTATAACCTGAAACAAAACCAAAAGATCGAAATTCATACCATGATAAAACAAAACTTTATTCGAATTTATACTCAAAACTCGAAAGTTATACTCAAAATTCTCATCAATGAAAGAAAGACAATATACCTTATAAAATTCTCAACTCCATAATGAATTGGCACCATTCCTACATAAGTTCATCCAATTGATCTTTTGAGTAATAAGCACAATTGAATTCGTCAAAGTACTACATAATAATATAACATAGTATGTGATTTAGTTAAAATACTATGTCATTTTATGAGAAATATTAAAATAATTCCTAAGTTAGAAATCCATACCGTGGATGGAATCTCTATTCGGTCCAAAAGAAGCATTTCTTTCATAAATCTCAATATGAAATAACCGCAATCTATACCATTACTTTGACAAAGATACTACATATGGAAATAAAATACGGATATATATCAGGATATACCCCTTAACTTGTTTTATCAAGTATCATCACTAATATAATCAAAATTGTGAAAATATACATGCACTCTGATCCACGTAATGTTGTCCGCTCTACTCTTTGGTACTTGAATACCTCTTTGTGATCGAAAAGCTTGTAAATGCTATAATAAAATATAAACGAATATTTAGAATAATCTCACATAGATAAATAAATATACACACAAATATTTAGAACAATTTCACTTACGTATCAATCATCATCTTCAAATCTGGGTATGTTGTCCAATCATTGTATAACGAATCCAAATAGTATACAATTTCGACTACATGATTAATCGCAAGCAATAACCAATATCCACTGTAAGATTAAACAAATGTTAGATGGAAAGTTTCTACACAACGTCAAAAAACGAAAAATTATAATAGATGAATTTAGGATGAAAATCTAACCCGTGGCCAGTATTATATGGTAAAAAGAATAACTTTTATGTATCTTTGCTGACCACAAATAAACCGAGTACATACAATATGACATCATCTGGTTTTGTTAGGATTAACCCTGCATTGACGGTGTTGGGAGCTAATAAAGCGAATCTTTCTTCCAATCCACGCGGGCGCATCACTTTGTCATATAGAAACCTTAAATAAAAACATCATTAAAATTAGACTATATTCGTTGAAATGAGTAAATAAATTGTTCGTTTAATTAAACAAAGTTGATTGGAGTATACCTGATGTATGTATCGATAACACCGAGGCTTAAAGTCAAATATTGAAAAACTTGATCCATATCTTCTCTACCAATTTCTTCCATGTATTCATAACCAAAAAAGTCTGTCGGCATAGGTATAATACGTGTACTACCAATTGAAATATTTTTTATTCCTATATATGTCCGAAGGAACGACCTATACTGAGACGTAGGTGTTTTGCTAGCCGCGGTCTTCTTATCCCTACTGACTTTTTCAATCTCTTTACATGCGTCTAAATATCATATAATTAGTTAGGTGAAGTATAAGATCATTATATGCATAAATATCATATAATTGTGTTATACCTCTTTTTTTGATGCAACTAACTCGGTTTTCCGCATCATCCCCTTATCTTTTGATTTGGGTTTTGTATGAGTCTAACATTACCATGTAAAAAAAGTGTACGTAAAATGCTCGTAAAAATTTTGAATACTCAAAGGTTCATAATTGTTTTAAGTATGCCTCATCATCTACGCGAATGAGACTTGACGGCCATGCAACATACGCACCTACTGCCTCTCCCACCAATATTGCATCTGAAACATCGTCTGGTATTGGTAATAACGCACCCCCCTCTAAATCAATATCAATTGATACCTTCAAATATCCAGTAAGGAGCGGTTTATGGTGAAGTACTTCTCCCAAAGTATTATGCACTTTCCCCTTGCCAACCATCCGATAAGTCGGTGACGATAAATAGAGTTGACAGGATGAAATGCCCTAAAACCAATAATAAATATGACATATATATATATATATATATATATATATATATATATATATATATATATATATATATATATATATATATATATATATATATATATATATATATATATATATATATATATATATATATATATATATATATATATATATATATATATATATATATATATATATATATATATATATATATATATATATATATATATATATATATATATATATATATATATATATATATATATATATATATATACCTCGCGAATATTCGGTTGAACATTACAATTGACACTAGCTTTGTCACTCGTATCTTTAAAACCCGAAGCTTCCCTTTGTGATTGATCTCTTTCTCTTTCCTTTCTCAACTCACGAACTTTAGCTTCTAATGCTAGCAACTTTTCCTGTAGTTCTTTATTGCTAGGAGATTTTGTCTTTGGATTTTTCTTTTTCAATGATGTTGGAGTGATCACATGTCCCGTACCCCTCACCCGACCTAAATACTCACGAACATCTAATGTTTGACTGAGTATGCTCCTGCAATCAGTGTAGTCATCTGGAGATATAGACTGAGACTGATTCTCCTGAAATTTATATGAATATCGAAAAAGCATGAATATTATATGTTAATAAACAATTTTGATTTAATTAAACTACTAATGTTATACTTACACATTTCTCAAAAATTTGTTGAACCTCTTCTTTAACAACTCCATTCTTACCCACACGAGCAGCCTTCCACAAAATATATTTTGGAACAAATGTTTCGGAATTATTCTCCTTTTTTAACTACACATTAAGACAAAAAATAAGATCAATTATAACTCATGATGAACAAGTATATCATTGAAATTTATAGATACTTACTATTTTTTTGTAAGCATGCATATTCCATACTCCCTTTTCTGTATGGATATGCGGGACCTGACGCTCGTTGGCGATTTATAATACTCGTATTTTGAAAAATTTTGGTTCTTTGTTTGTCTTTAAAAGTGTCCAATTCTTCTGGTGAAATCAAGTCTGCATATATACTTGGACGCTCGGTATCAACAAAAAAATTTTTGGTATCTCTTAGTTACTTGTTTGATAAAAAAGATCTAAACCCTCTATGTCTTTTTCTGGCCAATTGAAGACAATAAGCTCTTCTAGTATCATCAATGTTGAAAGACCTCTACGAAAAACATACAAAGAGTGCATTAATATAAGTAATTTAAAGACATAATCATAATTAAAAACAAATAATATGACATATGGTACCTGTACCTCACTCCAGATTTTGTCTTTAGCGATATCCAACTGCTCGTTTCTCCAACTATCACAAGTAATTGGAACTTCTCTCCTTACAAGTGAACCAATGTAACTTGTCAATTTAGAACTGTTAGGTTCAATTAGTTGCTCATTTGAATTCCAATGCACATCATACTTTATTCCTTTATTTCTATCATGAATGATTTTCTTCATAATAGTTATTCGTCTTCTAATTTCCCTTTCCTCTGCATTAATGGTTTCTTTCCATCATTAATAGAATCATCATGTGGATGATCCTCGTTACTAGCCATCTAACCTGTAATAAAAAAAACATAAGTATCTAATGACAAATATATAATTACAAATATATAATTCCAAATATCTAATTCCATAATCAATTGAGAATATAAAATGACAAATATATAAGTTTATTGAATGACGAAATATATAACATTTTACTATATTACCCCTTTCTCTAACATCTCTTTCTTTTCTTGGTTGAATTGTAAATTACCTGTATCTTAAGAACGCAGAAGGATGGATTGATCCAAATTCTCTCATTATGATCCTTTCTGATATATGATTCATCTGCTATAATATTCTCATCTCGATTGTTTCTAATATATGACTCATTCTCAACATCAATATCACCTTGATCTACACTTTTATCATCAATCACTTTGTTAGATAAAAGCACTATAGACCATTTCGTACTCTTTGGGTTAGTAAGGTAGAACACTTGTTTAGCTTGAGAGGATAGAATAAAAGGCTCATCTTTGTATCCCATCCTATTA